GAAAAACGGCACAAAATGGGAGAAAATGGCGAAAAACGGCACAAAATGGGAGAAAATGGGAGAAAAACGGCACAAAATGGGAGAAAATGGCGAAAAACGGCACAAAATGGGAGAAAATGGGAGAAAAACGGCACAAAATGGGAGAAAATGGGAGAAAATGGGAGAAAATGGCCAAAAATGGAACCAAGGGACAAAATGGCCAAAACCGGCACAAAATGGGAGAAAATGGAACAAAATGGGAGAAAATGGCCAAAAATGGAACCAAGGGACAAAATGGCCAAAACCGGCACAAAATGGGACAAAATGGCAAAAAACGGAACAAAATGGGAGAAAATGGCCAAAAATTGAACAAAATGGAATAAAATGGAACAAAATGGGACAAAATGGCCGGGTGTGGGCGTGGCCTGGAGGGATTTTGGGGACATTTGGGGACATTTTGGAAACACTGGCACATCAAGCGTGGGCGTGGCCGAAAAAGGGGTGTGGCCTCTCAAAAGGGGCGTGGCTTGGAGAGGGCGTGATCAATAACGGGTGTGGCTGAGCGGGATGATGTCACCATTGTGGGCGTGGCCTGGTCAGAGGGGTGTGGTCAAAGGATGACATCACAACTGTGGGCGTGGCCTGTAGAAGGGTGTGGCCGAATGTGGGTGTGGCCCAGAAGAGGGCGTGGCTTTAACTTTACTGTGGGCGTGGTCTGGGATAAAGAGGCGTGGCCTGATAATTGGGGGTGTGGCCTTTGAGGAAAGGGCGTGGTCTGACAGAAGGGGGCGTGGCGTGCCCGAAGTGGGCGTGGCCTCACCCTCATTGTGGGCGGGGCCAGGGCGGGGCCCGGCGAAGACGACGTCGACGTAATCGAGCTGGAGGCGGCGCAGGGAGCCCCGGAGACCTGAGGGGGCGTGGTCAGCGTTAGGCCACGCCCACAGCCACACCCACCCCTCGGGGGCGAGGCCAAGATTGTGCCACGCCCACCAAAACATTCGCTGCGGAAAAGGGGCGTGTCTCTTTAAGCCACGCCCATGCATTTGGGTGTGGCCAATGTTAGGCCACGCCCCCTTGAGTCCGCACAGTTATGGAGGGGCGTGGCCAAATTTAAGCCACTCCCACTGCTCAAACACCAGCACCAATCACCCTGTAGGGGGCGTGGCCAAGGTTAAGCCACACCCACATAAACCATGGGAGGGGCGTGGTCATAATTAGGCCACGCCCTTCTGTATGGGTGTGGCCACTGTTAAACCACGCCCACCCATGTCCATATAAGGGCATGGAAAGAATTGGGCTGTGGTTAAGCCACGCCCATGGCATGGTCACGCCCCCAAACTGGCCACACCCATCGAGGCTCCACCCCTCGGTTGGCCACGCCCACCCCGGCCCCGCCCCCTCACCTTCCAGCAGGTGCTTCCTGGAGAGGCCCCGGTCGGGTCTGGGGGGCAAAAAAAGCCAAAATTTACCCAAAAACGACAAAATTTACCCCAAAAAGACAAAATTTACCCAAAAAGTGACAAAATTTACCCCAAAAAATGACAAAATTTACCCCAAAAATGATAAAATTTACCCAAAAACGACAAAATTTACCCAAAAAGTGACAAAATTTACCCAAAACCGACAAAATTTACCCAAAAATGACAAAATTTACCCCAAAAATGACAAAATTTACCCAAAAATGACAAAATTTACCCCAAAAATGACAAAATTTACCCCAAAAATGACAAAATTTACCCCAAAAATGACAAAATTTACCCCAAAAATGACAAAATTTACCCCAAAAATGACAAAATTTACCCCAAAAATGACAAAATTTACCCCAAAAATGACAAAATTTACCCCAAAAATGACAAAATTTACCCCAAAAATGACAAAATTTACCCCAAAAATGACAAAATTTACCCCAAAAATGACAAAATTTACCCCAAAAATGACAAAATTTACCCCAAAAATGACAAAATTTACCCCAAAAATGACAAAATTTACCCCAAAAATGACAAAATTTACCCCAAAAATGACAAAATTTACCCCAAAAATGACAAAATTTACCCCAAAAATGACAAAATTTACCCCAAAAATGACAAAATTTACCCCAAAAATGACAAAATTTACCCCAAAAATGACAAAATTTACCCCAAAAATGACAAAATTTACCCCAAAAATGACAAAATTTACCCCAAAAATGACAAAATTTACCCCAAAAATGACAAAATTTACCCCAAAAATGACAAAATTTACCCCAAAAATGACAAAATTTACCCCAAAAATGACAAAATTTACCCCAAAAATGACAAAATTTACCCCAAAAATGACAAAATTTACCCCAAAAATGACAAAATTTACCCCAAAAATGACAAAATTTACCCCAAAAATGACAAAATTTACCCCAAAAATGACAAAATTTACCCCAAAAATGACAAAATTTACCCCAAAAATGACAAAATTTACCCCAAAAATGACAAAATTTACCCCAAAAATGACAAAATTTACCCCAAAAATGACAAAATTTACCCCAAAAATGACAAAATTTACCCCAAAAATGACAAAATTTACCCCAAAAATGACAAAATTTACCCCAAAAATGACAAAATTTACCCCAAAAATGACAAAATTTACCCCAAAAATGACAAAATTTACCCCAAAACCCCAAAATCTCAATTGGGACCCCCAAAATTCCCCCCAGTTCTTCCCTGGGACCCCCCAAAATCCCACAGGGACCCCAAAATCTGCTGAAATCTCCCCAAAATCTCCCCGGGAACCCAAAATTCAGCAAAATCCCACCTGGGAACCCCAAAATCTGCCAAAATCACCCAAAAATTCTACTCAAGACCTCCCAAATTCTCTTTCAGGGACCCCAAAATTCACGAAAATCCCCCCCAAATCCTCCCTGGATCCCCAAAATCTGCCCAAAAATCTCCCCAAATCTCATTTTGGGACCCCAAAATTTACCAAAATCCCACCCAGGGACCCCAAATTTTCCCCAAGGACCCCCAAAAATCCCCTCAGGGCCCCAAAATTTGCCCCAAATCCCCCAAATTTCCACCACAATCCTCCCAGGGACCCCAAAATTTCCCAAAATCCCCCTGGGACCCCCAAAATTCCCAGCCAGGACCCCCAAATCTGCGAAATTCCCCCAAAAATCTTATCCAGGACCCCAAAATCTGCCAAAATCTCACCCTGGGACCCCAAAAATCCCCCCCAAATTCCCCCGAAGACCCCAAAATTTACCAAAATCCCACCCAGGAACCCCAAATTTTCCCCAAATTTTCCCCAGAATCTCTCCCAGAACCACCCAAAATCCCCCCGGGGACCCCAAATTTTCCCCAAAATTCCCCAAAATCCCCCAGCCCCTCCCCCACCTCCATCCTTTGCTCCTCAGGATCCGCCCCAGCAGCTTCTCCACCCTGCGGGATTGGGGCAAATTTGGGCATTTTTGGGCAATTTTGGGGAATTTGGGCATTTTTGGGGAAATTTTGGGGTTTTTCGAGGTCTTTGGGAATGATTTTGGGGGATTTTGGGGGAGATTTTTG